GGTGGGAGCTGCCTGCAGGTCCCTGTTACAGTGAGCTGGCCGAGTTCATCCTGCGGCCAAACACAGGACAAACTGTGCAGTTGAGTGATCTGTGCAGCACAACACAGACTGCACCTGCTCAGGTTAACTGTGATGGGGATGCATAATTTAGAGATCAATGCATATATGCCTGATAAAATCTGGGAGATAAATTACTGTGTTGGGAGCCTGTGGAAAACATTATATTTGAGGAAACAGTGATCTTGAAACCACCACACCTGTTCAAGATCATCATCCTTTAAATTATGCATAATATTTCAGAACTAATATACTCTCATATATTTCAGTCTGGTACTATTTTGGCTTAGAAAAATCATTAACTTGAAGGCCAAAATATCTGATATTGTGGATGTATTACAGCTACCATTGAACTCACAAGTTTATGAGCTCCTAACTTTTCTTATGGATTGGATCTCAGACCAGCAGCTTAGCAGAATAAAAATACAAGAAGAAAGAGAAGACTGTCATAAAGTTCTGGTTACCCAGACCTCCAAAAAAACCTGCACCCAGGAAAAGTGTATGAAGGTAAAGGGGTTTGGATTGTTTGCTTGTGTTAATATGTTTTCCGATTTATGGCTTTTATTAAACGATTTTGAGAATATAGCAGGTCAGTCTGTTTTATACATTCTTTGGATATAGTCATTAAAATCGGGGCGGGGGGGGGGCTGCGAGTAGCTGTGTCTTGTCTGCCAGCTAAGTTAAACTATCACAATTGTTAATAAGTGGGTGTTAATTCCAGCAGTGAGACGTAATAGGTAATTTGTCATTCGTAAAGCACACAGGTGGTTTGTAAGAAATGGAGTGTTCACTCTCAACTTGAGAGTTTCAGCATTTTATTTCAAGTCAGTTCTGTCAGTTGATAATTTATTGTGTTTTATGTGTAATACTGTACCTAATTCCTTTTTCTAAGGAGATGAACATATCTAATTTAAAATATCTTGATGCCTATATTAGGTATTAAAGTTTCAATTTATGACTAGTAAAAGGTGATACTATGCTATACTTTTAACATGTTTATTGTTTTCTTTCTGGAGATACCAAGGTTTGGAAATCAGTGAGGTGTTCAGAAAATCTTCTTTTACTGTTTTTCTTTATTATATTAAAGATTTATAGCCACTGGGATTGGCTTTACTGAAACTGAGCTCACGTGATGTATCTCCACTTTTGTATGTAAACCTCTGTAAAATTTAAAATCTATGTATGTGTATAATTCTCTTACCTGTACTATATCTGCCCAGTGAGCATTTGCATACATAGTCTGTTAAGAGGAAGTTGGAAGTTTTGTTTGTTTGTTTTTCACTTATGGTTAGCTTATACAACAGTATCATATACTGCATGTAATTTTACTTTTGTGTATTTTTTACAGCTTTTGCCTTTAGCTACTGAGCAACTCCAGTGGATGCCATTTGTGAATGCTAAACTACACATGCCTGTGCTTAAATGTATTTACTGGTCTATAAGACAGCTAGACAGTGGTATTCAGGTAAAAGAAGTAGCCCTCCTGTAGTATATTTTGTTTGTCTTTTTTTTTTAAACTAAATTCCCAGAAGATATTTATGGATTTTTTGTTTTAAATACATATGAAAAGTGAATGTTTTCAGGTAATATATGTAAAAGAAACTCTACTGTCTTTGCAAAGCACAAATTCATAGTGTTTACCACAGATACATGGCAAATGAAAAAACATATTTTTGAAGTAAATTTTTGTGTATCGAAATAGTTTTCATAAGTATGTGATCTCTGTTGTGATGTCTAAGCATCTCAGAAATTATATTTTTACATATGTATTTACAAAACTGTTGTTGCACTCAAAAAGGCTATATGTTTAGTTTCACTTTATGCATGAGATTTGTTGAAATTGATAGAAATGTGTGGCAAAGGAATTTTGATTTTTCTGTTCTCTGATCAGTGTCTAACCACAAGACATTCCTCATTCCCTTTGACTAGACTGCTATAAGAAAATATTTAGCAGTATAATAAAGAAAAAGACAGTAGCTGTACTGTAAAGACTCAGTATTGTACATAGTGCTGTCAATAGTGCTTTTGCTAAAGCAAAAGGTAGGAAACTTTGTAAGTATTTTGAGTTTAAGTTCAATAGAATAGTAAAATGCTAATAAGAAGCTTATTTAAAATGAGCATATTGTGAAGTTTAATTCTGAAGTAATATTTTGCTATGGTTTATGATGAAAAGTATAATAGATCTTACCTGTACAATGTTCTTAAGGTTCCTGTTTAGACCTTGATTCTGTGAATGCTTTTGCAGGATATAGCTTCAGGCATCCTTACAAAATAGAGCTGACTGAAGCTGAGCTTGTTCTGGAACCAGAGGCAACTTAATGCCAACATATCAGGGGTCCTCACTAACTAGTCTCTTTGTGAAGTATGTGTTGATAAGGCATGGTGATAATGTTGTTCAACTGCTTTTGGAACACAAAGTAGTTATCTCCTATACAGATTATATTCCAATACATGATCAAACCATTTGCTGTTTAGTATTTAATCACTAGGGGAACATATGTATCTCTACATAGTACGCAGGTTTTAATGTTTACACTAACTGTGTGCATTGTTTGGAATAGCATGCAACAATGACATCAACAATGAGGAGACTTGGTGAAGATATTTTCAAAGGCATAGTAAGGAAGGGAGACCCACATGGTTCTTCTGAACAGTCTACAGAGTGTAAATCGAAATCAGCAGCTTTCTTTAAAAGTTCCTGTATGCCTCTGAGGTTTCTGTCAACTTTAATAGTGCTTAAAACAGTGACACAAGGTAAGTTCTGATTTTTTAAAAAAAATATTTATCTCTTTCAGTCCTGTGCCTGGACAAAAAACATTTCAGTGATACTGTAGAGTCTGTTATGCTTTATTAGTGAGAAGTAGGTTTACTTGAATTTTACTGCCTTGTGAAGCAAAATATACTGGAAACAAGTATGGATCTTGCTATTATTCATTTCATGTTGGAATGTACGTGTTCCTTTTAATGTGACAACTTCTTGTCAGACAAACCAACGTTTCTGAAGAAGGGGAAAACAGATGTTGGTAATTCTGTCAAACTGTCACTACAGCAGTGATTAGATTGCCAAGATTTTTACTGCATAGAATGGCACAGCTAATTGCTCTTTTATAAACTTAAGTATCAGATTTTGCACAGTTCTAGAACTTTACTGTCCTGTTTCAGCTAGTAAGTTGTTTACCTATCTTCTGAAAGGCTGATCAGCTGTAGTGTCAAGTGTTTCTTTTCTGACATAATTACAACTTTGCTGCATTTACCTTTATAGATAAATGTGGGGTTCATATGTATTTCTGATCTATCTGTAGTCACACAGAGAAAACCACTTGTGTAGTGGATTATAATTATTAGATTGTGTTGTGATACAATGTATGTCCTGAAATGTTTTGTCCCTTAGTCTAAGTTTAGTATTCATATTCCAGCCCTTACCCATCTGGTGCTCCTCTCTTGTCGTATCAAGTCTGGCTCTGCAAATGGTTACCCATAAAACATTATCAATATTGAAAAATGCTACTCTATGTAATTGTCAGTTCTTGACATGACTGTCAAGAACAGATTTCACTGTTAAATAGACTCATTTACAAAGGCACCATTTTCTGTTTATGTAAGAATACTTTAGATTTCCAAACTACCTGTCTATCATTAAAAGTGTTGTTTTTATCCAAAATCTTCCAAAAATTCCTATGTTGATGTCGTATAATAACTTTGTTAACAAGGAAGAAGTAAACAGGGTCATATTGGGAGGTAACACAACTCTGGAAATAGTGACTTCTGCTTCAGATCATGACAGGTTACTCCATTTGTGCAGTTTTCAAGATGCTGTGGTAAATCTTCTCAGCGAGACCTTCTTTGCAAACGGATATGATCTGAAAAGGCCAAACCATTTTCTTGAAAGTAATGACAAAAATTGACTGTTTCTTGTGAGCTCTGAGTGTTGAGCACACTATGAGAAGAGGCACAAACTCAGATTTTTAATGCTTTCCTTCCTTCTTCTCTTGACATAGAGATTGGTTCTGACTTTTTTGTGAGAACCCAAAGAAAAAAAACCTTCAATCATTCTGATTTATGGAGCTATTTTAAAATTAACTTACAGATTAACTTTGGTAATTTAAACAAATTCTTGCCTATTTCTAATTTCTGTATGACTACTTCGAAAAATTCAACAGTAATTTGTAATCCAAATTATGCTTAAAGGTTCTTAATTCATATATCTGTAGATTTGATGAGTAATCCAAAAGAATGTCTTATTTTGACTTCTGTTATTAACTTTCTCTTTTGACGTAATTGCTTTAATTCAGTAGTGGCTTCAGTGATTGCTATGAAGCGATTTTGTTCACCTATGCAAAAAGAGTCCATCAGCATAAAAGCAGCAGATTTGATAGGTCCCCTCTGAATCCTAAATGCAATATGATTGCCACATATTATCATGTTGAGCTTCTGACTATATAAAGACTTGAGTTTTTATGTATTTATTTCTTAAAAAAAAAAAAGAAATAAAAGAAAAGAAAAAATCAAATATCCTCTTAAAGAATATAATCCAGACAACCTTCAGTGCCTATTAGGGGATTATTTTATCTGAAACAGCTACATCATTTTCAGCTCATGCTTCTGCCTTTTCTTAACCAAAAAGAATCAAGGGATTGTGTAAGCGGTCATCACAGGGTGATCAACTCTTTTCTTTCACTGTGAGTTTTTTCTATTTCCACTTTGTTCCAGGGATCTTCCCAACTTTCACACTAGCAGAGATGTATAGTAGTAGTGTAAAGTAGAATTGTCTACTTAAAACTTATATAATTTTGTGTTGGCAAAGAAATAGAGGAAGTTGGGTCTTCTCTGGCTCATAGTAGAGGGAGAAAGTAAAGGTTTCAAAGTAGACACTACGAGTTAACAAGAATCAGATTGTCCCTGGACAGGGTGAGAAAAAAATGCGGAAAATATATCTCAAATAATAGAGTAACTGTTTTCTCTGCTGATTTAACTGCTGCCTTCAGCTATGAAGCTTTTTCTCTCTTCAAGGGAAATGCAGAACAAGAGATGTTGCAGATCCTTTTTATGGAATTCAGGGAGAAAACACTAATTATATACCATTAAAAGCAGGTATAAGAGGTGATTACTGCCTGCTTGCAGCACTTAGGAGTACTGTGGTGCTGCATAACTGGAATTTTCTGCAAGAATAAGTTTTACAAGGATAGCAGAAGAGTGACTATATCTATAACCGTTTTCCAACTCTCTGTGATACTAACCACTTATTTTTTCCTTTTCAAAGACATTTTAAAAGCACAGATCATTTTGATAGCAAATAATTATTCAGTGGGGTGATAACTATGAGCAATCTAACCTAACTTCAGAGATGGTCCTGCTTTGGGCAGGGGGGTTGGACTAGATTCCAACCTAGATTATTCCATTATGCTATTTTTGCTATCTTTTGTTCTCAGAATGGTACGTATTTTAAAATGTCTTTACTAGTAACACATCCCTTGTGCTAGTAACACAGAGATGGAAACAGGTTACAGAGATGTTAATTTTCAAGGTAATCCTGATAAACTGTGCCAGAATGTCAGAATCAGATTCCTACCTTGGCATCTGATTTTTTTCAGTCTCTTGCATGAAATATATTATGAATTTTGAACCATTTCTTAGCAGTGATCCACAACACAAAATTTCTGGCATCCTGATTGACACTAATTAGGGATGCCAAAGATTTTAAATCCATAGATAATGGACAATGTTCTTGTTTATGGAGGTCATCCTTCTGTATTACCTGGTTAAGCAGATTAGTGTGTCTTTATGCTTAACTGATCCGTGCAGTATTTATATTGTATTTACAGCAGACGTAGTATTTAAACATGGTGGAAGACCACCCTGACATCTTTAATGAACAAATACAGTGTTTCAGCTGTTGAAGGGAACTACTTCAGTCAATACATTTTGGTGAAGCATGATAATTACTCTTAAACTGAGACTTATGTTTCTAGAAACATTTGATAAAAATGATGCAAAAAGAATTGCAATGCAAAAAGTAGTTATTGCAGAGGCTTCCCTAAGCAGATGAATGCTGTTGATTACAATGAATCACTTTAGCTTCTCATGGTTGCTTTTTACTGATAGATTTTATAATGTGGAAAATATGATGTGTTCTAAAACATTTGTCCAATATCACTGTGTATGAGTTTTGATCACACGTGGCACTAATGATCTAGAGATAAAGTAGCACATTTGATTTGAACATATATCGTTTCCTTCAAAATGTCAGTTTCCAGAAGATGGCACTGCAGTTAAACTTTTGCTATGGGATAAGTTGTTTCTATACTTCATTTTCTGCACTCCAGATGCTCAATGGTGTTCCAAGATACTGAGAAAGATTTTACATCAGGAAATTAAGCAAATTAGATTGGTTCAATTAATCTACTTTCTTTGTATAATTTAGTGCACTCCACAGTGGATGAGTAGATAAAATATATGCACTGAAACTTAAACTACAGCTTTTTATAGGAAGGAATGGGAATAGTTGCTCTCATTAAAGTAATTGGTCTTATTCTGAAAAATCATTCCTTGACTCCTTTAACAGAGGTTTCCGAGATGTTGAAACCAACATTGTCTCAAACTATGCAAGCTTCTAATTTCTTTACTCTTAAGCAAAACATTAGAAGGGCTTTATATGTCTAAGTATATTTTTCTTGACATTAGGAAAAGGTTCTTCACCCAGAGGGTGGTGGAGCACTGAAACAGGCTCCCCAGGGAGGCAGTCATGGCACCAAGCCTGACAACATTTGGACAACACCCTCAGACACATGGTCTGAATCTTGTGACTGTCCTGTGCTGGGTCAAGAGTTGGACTCGATGATCCTTGTGTGTCCCTTACACCTCACAACATTCTATGATTCTATGATAATTGTAGTTAGTCTTTTTTTCTGCTAAAATAAAAAGGAATAAAAACAGGCAGAGGATTTCTGTAAATAAAAATAAAATTTATTATTTTTAGCCATTTAACTTTTAAGTATTTATCTGCAACAGTAACTCTCAGGATAGCTATTCATGTATTGCTTAATGGAACTATGATTGTAGAAGTTTTATTGCCTGTATTCTAATATCTTTCAGTGGATTACCTGGCTCAGGCATTTGATTCCCTTTGCAAGGACTTGATGACAGATGAAGGGAAGGCCTTATTTTTGGAATATCAATGTGTGCCTGTCGTATTAAGTCACTTAAAAGTATCCAGTAGAGGTCTGCTTTCCGGTGCTCTTGATGGATTACTTCAGATGACCACAGAATCTGGTAAATTTGGGTAACTAAAAAAAAATGAAAATATAAAATCATGATGAAAACAGGTAAGGTAGGCTTAAATCCAACATAAAAATAGCATGATTTTTCTCTATAAATAATCTAATCTAGTATTAGCATTTGTTTGTATCATGTACATTCATTAGCGACATAAAATGTATTTCTGAATTGTCTGTCTCTTTCTGAGTTGTATTCTCTTTTCTTCTCCCTCTCAGGACCTATGCTTTATATTTTGTCCTGTTTGCTTTCTTATTTACTGGTGTGAATTGTTTTGTTGCTATTTTTGGTTTGACTTTTCAGTTTATCCCACTGTTTTACCTTGCTGATGTTTTTCTTTGAAGTCAGGCTGTGCCACGGAAACCATATAATGAAAACGTGCCAGCAGGTGGAGATAAAAAATAGACTTTATTGAAATTCTTTTTCTAGTTTGAATGCACAACTCATTCCCAGTCATTCTTCACTTTCTAATAATTGGAAATGGCATTACTAGAAGAGATGGTTATGTTTTGCTGAATTTTACTGGGCTGTAGCCTTTTAAAAGGTTTAATAATCACATTTGTCACAGTGCTTTTCCACGTGATACAGACCAAGTATCAGTTGATAACCAACTGGATGAACACGAAAGTAGTGAAGTATTCCTCACTACTTGAATAATCCTTGTGACTCTTTTTTTAAAGAGAGAAAAATCACTCACTGCCTCTTAGAACAGAAAAGGGGAAAGGACTGCTGCTATTTTTGAAATGTGTGTTCTTATTTTGGGAGTATTTTGTAATCATGCAGTATAATGGTAAAAATAGAAAGCATGTTTGACTTGGGATGGAACAGCATTGAGTTAAAAGACATTTTGTAGCGAGATAAGTGGCAGAAAGATTTAACTAAAGTTTTATTTTTCTTTGCAGACTTTTTCTGACCATGTATTTAGTGTATCATAGAAACATAGAATGGTTTGGGTTGGAAGGGACCTAGTCCAACCCCCCTGCAGTGAGCAGGAACATCTTCAACTAGATCAGGTTGCTCAGAGCCCCATCCAGCCTGAGCTTGAATGATTGCAGGGATGGGACTTCTACCACCTCTCTGGGCAACCTGTGCCAGTGGTCACCACCCTCATTGTAAAAAATTTCTTCCTTACCTCTAGTTTAAATCTCCCTTCTTTTAGTTTAAAACCATTACCTGTTATCCTATTGCTACAGGCCCTGCTACTAAGTCTGTCACCATCTCTCTTATAAGCCCCCTTTAAGTACTGAAAGGCCACAATAAGATCTCCCCAGAGCTTTCTCTTTTCCAGGCTGAACAGCCCCAGCTCTCTCAGCCTTTCTTCACAGGAGAGGTATTCCATCCCTCTGATCATTTTTGTGGCCCTCCTCTGGACCCACTCCAACGGGTCCATGTCTTTCCTGGACTCCAGAGCTGGATGCAGGTGGGATCTCACTAGAGTGGAGTAGAGGGGCAGAATCACCTCCACCTGCTGGCCACACTTTTGATGCAGCCTAGGATACCATTGGCCTTCTGGGCTGCGAGTGCACGTTGCTGGCTCATGTCTCACTTTTCATCCAACAGTACCCCCAAGTCCTTTGCAGGGCTGCTCTCGATGCCTTCATCCTCCAGCTTGTATTGATACCGGGGATTGCCCTGACCCAGGTGGAGGACCTTGCTCTTGGCCTTGTTGAACCTCATGAGGTTCCTATGGGCCTACTTCTCAAGCTTGTCCAGGTCCATCTGGATGGCATCCCGTCCCTCAGGCATGTCAACAGCACCGCTCAGCTTGGTGTCATCTGCAAACTTGCTGAGGGTGCACTCAATCCCACTGCATCATTGACATCATAAGATATTAAATGGCACTGGTCCCAATATGGTGAAGAACACCACTCATCAGCCATCTCTATCTGGACATTGAGCCTTTGACCACTACCCTCTGGATGTGACCATCCAACCAATTCCTTCTCCACCGAACAGTCCAGCCATCAGTCCATATCCCTCCAATTTAGCGAGAAGGATGTTGTGGGCGACTGTGTCAAAGACCCTACAGAAGTCCAGATAGATGACATCCATAGCTCTTCCCTTGTCCACTGCTATAGTCACTCCATCATAGAAGGCCACTAGGCTGGTCAGGCTAAAGTATTCTTTACTGAAGAACTGCAGCATCATTTTTTGGCACTTTAGAGATGCCATGATTTTTTCTAGGGCTTTCTTTGCACTAGGTCAGCATCTCATGGCTACTGTTTGGGAAAGGTAAAAACAACAAGGATCACTTAAATCACTTAAATAGTCATAGCTATGATTGGTAAAGGGATCGGGAAGGAGATAGTTGTATGCACAAAAGTAACCTAACAAGTTGGATGGTGTCTGGTGTTACTTTGGGTAATGCCAGTAGTACTGCATCTTCTGTTACCTAGCTGGAGTCGTGTTGATATGCTAGATGCCTGCAGTTTGAAGAATAATGGAGATATGTTGTGAGGGACTCGCATTCTGCCTTGTTGTTTCTCAGAGAAGATGTATGTATGTGAAATCAGGGAAGGAGGAGTAATGTTTAATTGAATTGATAATTAATTGAGAATTTATTTCTCAGCAACTGGATATGAAGCCTTATGCAGAGCCTTTCTCTTTGCCAATACACAAGTTATCGGTGTGTTCTGCTCTTTTCTAATACATAGTGTTTTGCAAGAAGTCGTTAACAAAGAGAAGTAGTATTGTTGATGGGGAATTATATTTTCATTCCTTTGTAAGTTTCCTATTAAAAAGGCATTAAAAGACAAACTAGAAGGTGGCAGTGGATATTCAGAGGGCTCTCTGTGTTAGATTAAAACAGGACTTTATGCTCCATTTTAAAGCTGTATTGGTGTGCAGCCTTAAATATGAAGTTTTCATTGCAAGGTTTTGCTAGTGGGGGGGCTACAGAGGTGGCTTCTGTGCAAAGCTGCCAGAAGCTTCCCCTGTGTCCAACAGAGCCAATGCCCACTGGCTCCAAGATGAACTCATTGCTAGCCAAGGCTGAACCCATCAGCCAGCAATGGTAGTAGTGCCTCTCAGTTAACATAATTAAGAAGGGGGGGTGGAATAAAGAAACCTGTGCAGTTGCAGGCAGAGAGGGGAGTGAGAATGTGTGAGAGAAACAACTCTGCAGACACCAAAGTCAGTGAAGAAGGAGGGGGAGAAGCAGGCACTGAAGCAGAGATTCCCCTGCAGCCTGTGGTGAAGACAGTGGTGAGGCAGGTTGTCCCTCTGCAGTCCATGAAGGTTTATGGTGGAGTAGATATCCACCTGCAGTACATGGGGGACCCCATGCCAGAGTAGGTGGATGCCTGAAGGAGGCCTGTGCTTTAGTTGTCTAAGAAAGCTTGCTAGATCATAAGGTGGTACAGAGGATGTCTCCAGGGCATTCAAACCTGAAACAAATGCATGAAGTTGAGATTCTTCAGTTCCACCTGGAAACCCAGGAGGAGGTTGACCAGAAGGCCAAATAGTGTGTTAAATGGCCTGCATTCTTTTTTTGCCTGGTAGGTTGGGAGTAACATTTAACAAGGAATTTTTTGGTAAGAGAACTGCAACATCATTTTTTGGCACTTTAGAGATGCCATGATTTTTTCTAGGGCTTTCTTTGCACTAGGATCACTTAAAATGAGTTTAGTTTAAAAAAATAAAAGATAAAATAAAAAGGACAGTAAACCAGGATTTGTTTGGCAAGATCTACTTCTCTGTCATTCTCTAAAACGTGTGTTGACACTCACCATGTGCCTGTGTCAGGGTAAGGCTAACTTTAATGAAACAGGTTGTCTATTTGTAAAAGGACTCCCACAGAGTAGCGCGAAGAAGTAAAATCTATATGGTGAGAGGCAGCTGGTAGCCAAAACCTCTGTGTGTCATGCCACCTTGTATGCAATGTGACTGTACATGATTGTGGCTGATGAAGGTAACTATCAGGGCTGGAGTTCAAGCCATAAAAATTACTTCATGTGAAGATCAGTACCCTTTCAGTTCAAAGGCTACTGGAACTTTCTGCCCATTAAGAATTTGGAGCTTCTCTGTTTTCAGTGAGCTTATGCATTCCAGTCTGAAGGAAGAAGCAGATGGTTTTTTGCACTGCACAACTCAGTTGCGTGAGGTACACAGGAAGAAGCACAAGTTACTACACCAAATGACCCCTACACAACTTGTAGTGACAGCCTTGCTTTCAGGAAACCTGACTTGGAATCCCCAGGTCTAATGAGAACAAGAGAGTGTGAGCAGTGAATATTACAGATAGGTTCAGTGAAGTTGTCCTCTTGCATTACTTTTCCCATCCATACCTTCATGACAAGATACTGTTGAAACAACATATGAATATTCACCTAGATGACAAAAAAGCAGAAAATGTAACCTTAGTAATCAGGGATTAGGTGTTTCATTACTGCTCCAAAGACAAAAGGGGAGTATCAGCTTATTTTGATCAAGAGATCCATTTGCATTCTTAGTGCTAAAACCATTTGTCATCATTTCCTCATTAGAGCTACAAGATGAGCTGTCAACCTTCAAGGTGCTCTTTTTGGTTCATCTCTTAGTATTACTTCAGATTCCAGGTTGGAACATTTTCAGTCACTACTAGGATCAGGGTTTATTCTTTCATCTTTTTAATTCTAGGTTAGTAAGAGCTTAGCATATTCCATAGGAATTATGCCAGTCTAGTAGATCTTGTAAATAGCTGCAAGCTCATTTAAAACTAGAAATAAAAATATGCCTGAGGTCCACAGCTTCATGAACAGTTTTGTCTGAGTTGACATGTATTCTGTACAGGAGTGGATAACACCAGTGTACCTATCCAACTAGGCCACAGAAACAGTCTGGTCTTAACACCACAGGAGTTCTGTGAAGAAATGATTAAGGCTTTCAGTACCCTTGGTAAGCTTATTTGTGTATTATGTTTCAAGAAACTTAGATATGTATCATGATAACATATAAAGCTCCAGAGCCCACGTTATAGTATACGATCCAGTCACATGATTTGTTGTAAGGATTCAAGT